CGGCCAGGCCCCCGCGCGGCACGCGCGCCGCGCAGCCCTCGTTGGGGCAGGCGAGCAGCTCGAACGGACACGTGTCCTCATGTCCCTTGCGATGGGCCAGGGCGCACGTCACCGCGCAGCCGGCCTCCGCGTTCTTGCACTGCGGGAGCGAGAGGGGCGCGCGTGAGCCCCGCGGGTGGCGGCCCAGGGGCTGCCCGGGCTGCTGGCCGGGCTTTTTTACTGGCGGTTTGGTTCAAGACCCAGCCGAGGTCCTTGGCCTGGCTAGGCAGGCGCTCCACCGCCCAGCCGCGGCCCCAGCTCCCATCTTGAAGCCTGATTTCCTAGCTGTGAAGTTGGGGTGTGTGTGTACAGTGCTGCCAGCACTACAAACCTATTTTACAGCCCAGGCAGGGGTTAGGAAACTTGGTAACATCACTCCGGGAGTTCAAGGGAGCCATCAACCCATCGCAGCCAGGTCTCCCCATCCCCAGGCTGCTGTGAGGCTCTGCCACGCCCCTACGAGGGTGGGAGGAAAAGATGCTCAAAAACTACCTTGACTTCGAGGCGGCCAATGGTTTTCCGGAGTTGATTCACATGGACCATCTTTTTCCTTTTCACCTCTTTCCTGCAGCACGGACAGGTGTTTTGTCTTGAAGGAGGCATGGGCCATGGAGGGGGAGGTGGACATGAGTATTTTCCATGGGAGAGAACAAATGTGCCAGGCCAAGGTTTCATAGGGGACCCAGATGATCCCCTCTCCAGCTGGAGGAATGAGGGGTTACTGCAGGTAGCTATGGGCTCCAAGGTGGAGGGCAGGGGTTGCAAATACCACCGGGTAACAAGGACCCATACAATGCAGCTGGGCCTCACAGACATTGTTTGGTATTCTCTGGGCCACAGATAAGGTCTCCAGTCTCACAGCCGCTCTCCCAGCCCCCCTGGGAACCCGATGGCACCTGGCTAACCACCGAAGGATGCACTTCTGGCAGAAGATGTGACTGCAGGGCAACCTCACTGGCCTCTTGAGTACCCCATGGCAGACAGAGCACAGGAAGTTGCAGTCAGGAGGGGTGGTGAAGAGGTTGAGATCATATCCGCCACTCTGCAACGTTCCAGGCCAACATCAAGGCCTGGTTCTGGCCTCCCGGTGTTCTAATACCCAGAGAATCCCCAGCAATCTTTGGGCAGGGAGGTAGGCCACGTGAAAACCCCAAGCAGATGTGGATTAGCACCCGTCTGAGGTAGAAGGGTGGAGGACCAGAGTCCTCCAAAATTGCCAACCTCCAGCTAGAGCCTTGTGGAAAGTCTCGTCACTCATCCTCTATAGGGAGTGTAACCCCATCTTCCTTCTGAGTGAGGCCCATCCCTGATGACTGGTGCCCACTGCTGGATGTAAGTCTCAGGGCTGGGGCTTACCATGGTCTGGCTAGACAGCGGCTCCACTGCAGCCCAGGGTTCAGAAGCCTGCATTTCACTGCAGCTGTGGGCCGACATCACAGAGGCATTGTCCAGCTCAAGCCAATCACAGGGGTCCTGGGACCCCTGGCACCTTACAGCAGTAAGGCAGTGCCAACTTGGACGGGTCATGAACTTCTACCCAAGGCCAATAGGATGAAGTGGATAGCTGTGTCCCCACCCCCAGTGTTAACTGGATGGCCCAACCTCCAAGCACATAGGCAATCAACTGAAACTACTTATCTTCACTGATATCTACAGCCCCTGGTGTTCCTCAGAAGGCCTGGCATGGCTCTTCCATCGGCTCAGTTATGGGGAAGGGGCTGAGGAAATTGGCTCTGGCCTGGAAAGGCATGCTCCTGCAGGTTCAACATGGCTGGAATGCAGGCGGACCCAGGCCTGGGGAAGCTTTAGGAACACACCCCTGTCCTGATAGTGGGAGGGAAACACTGCTTCCGATCCTTCCTGGCAGGCTCCTCGAGTTGGAGACACCGACTGTTTCCAGCCAGGTTCAGAAAAATCACCATACTCCCAAATACCTCGTGTGTGTTGGTCATGGGGTTTGAACACGGCCTGGGTGCTGTCTCTGAGCTTTTTCCCTCAAGGACAGTGCTCTACCACGACCTGCCTTCCCAGCCCACAAATAAAATATCTTAAGCTATTTCCCCAGCACCTGAGCATACAATATATTTCTCCCTGGTAGTGGGGCCTGAACTCTGGGCCTAGGCGCTGTCCCTCAGCTCTTGAGCTCAAGACTAGCGCTGTCACTTGAGCCCAGCGCCTGGTTTACAGCTTTTTTCCTGCTCATGTGGTGCTGAGGAATGGAACCCAAGCATGTGTGGTAAACACTGTACCAAAGCCACCTTGCAGCCCCGGAGACCAATCTTTAAGACTTTCCTGCGGAGAGGGGGACTGGCTTTGGACGGCGATCCTCAGGATCCCAACAGGCACCAGCCAAATACCTATACGGGGTCTAAAGCGGAGTCGGGCCGGCCCGCAGAAACGCCCCTGCCAAGCGCAGCCTGCGAGGGCGGCGACGGACGCGCCCTCCGGCAGGGGCGGGTGGCCAGGCACAGAGGACAGCACACACACACGCGGTTTTACTCGTTTATTCCTCCCCCGGCGGTGCGCGGCCGCTCCGGCCCCCCGGCTTCACCGGGCCGGCGGCGGTGCCCTCCTGCGGCGGTGCCCTCCTGCGGCGG